TTGTCTGCACCTACGGCACACCAGGCAACGGTTGAAAAACGCTGATATATTCTATCCACCTGCCTCGGTGAATACCTGTTTATAATAACCTGGGAATTTAGGTTCCACATTAAAATTTTTGGAGTCCTTGAACTTTACTGGAACTTGGAGGTGCAAAGAAAGCTGATCTTCAGTCCCCAAATCCTGGCCCATAACATAACATTCACACTTCCCACATGGGCTTCATGCCACCACATTAATGTGGATATCCCCATCTGCACATCCAAGCATTCTCCCAAGCAATCCCTGCACACAGCCACCCCTTAACTGGCACAGGAAGCGTAGTCTGTCCACAGGAGGATGGAACTGGTGGAAGTCTGCATTGGCCCTGGCACATGGTCTAGAAGTGCAGGCACAGTCTGTGCTCAGGCTCACTCCAAACCCTGCAAACTCTTCACCCAGTGGGGAGAATGTCTGTTAGGGGAGGACCAGGAAGGAAAGTCTGATAGCGCAGGCTTAAGGGCAACATTACCTCATAGTCATTCATTGGTGTTTACTGGGCACTAATCTGTGGAAGCCACCATGCTAGGCTGCAATAGCATGAATAGCAGTGCCAGGGGACACACTTCAAATGTTAATGGTTAGTATAGTTAAGTGGCTGAATAGAAAAGTAGGTAATCAATTCTCTTCACAAATCTCGACTCTTCTGAGGCTCCTCATCTCAATAATGGCTCTACCACATCAGCCCAATGATCACCAGAAACCTGGGGTTACTCCAATATCTCTCATGCCCGGCCCCCATATTATGTTCCACCCATTCCATTTCCCAAATGCCTCTTCACCCAGATGGCTAAGTGCAACACCACCAGCTGACACATGGGCCATAGTTTGTGGAGCAAATGAGAGCCACGGAAGCTCAGAGGAGGAGCTGATCCTGGTGTGGGGAGGGGGACTGGAAGAACTAACGCCCACATTAAGCCCCTTGTTATAAATTTATCCCACGCTATCTTTGGGAGTGGTTGGCTCTTAAAGGAAAGATTCATGCTGGATAAGAGAGGTGGCAAGGCCATTCTGAACCTGTATGATCTTGTCTTGTGCAGGAACATATAAGAGAAAAAGTAGAATGAGGCTTTCATTTCTTTATTTTTAGGGTAGTTCATCCCTAACCTTAATCAGAGCCACACTCTTCAATGGAAACACACTGGTATCTTTAATAATAAAAGCATAATATGCTAATTAGACCAGAGGACCTTGTGGATGAAGCCAGGGCTGCAAAGGAAGCCAGAGTCCCAGATGCCAGAGGGAAGCCAGTGCCAGCATCCAGGGTAAGGAAGGCCTACTCTTGCATGGATTTCATGCATCAGGCCTCTAACATTTCCATAAAGGCTCTGAGAAGCTACTTTGCATTTCTGCTTTTAGACTGGTGATCTCTCCTATTGCCCCTCCAAACTCTTAGCTGGCTGGCCTGTAAGATTGTCTTTGAGACTCACTTTCCAGGGTCCTTTAAGAATATCGTAGTTCCAAAACTGCTTTGGCTCAGTGGATAGAGTGCCGGCCTGAGGACTGAAGGGTCCCAGGTTTGATTCTGGTCAAGGGCATGTACATTGGTTGCAGGCACATCTCTAGTAGTGAGTGTACAGAAGGCAGCTGGTCGATGTTTCTCTCTCATAGATTTTTCTAGCTCTCTATCCCTCTCCCTTCCTCTGTGTAAAAAATCAATAAAATATATTTAAAAAAAGAAGAAGAAGAATCCCGTAGCTGAGGAAAATCAGCTCTGCATGAGCCTGGGGAGCAGGCTCCCTTGGCTGGACAGAGGTGTGAGACCCAAGTGTGATGTCAACCTACCACGTGGACAATGTTAAGCCAGCCCCAATGTGTACTCAGCTGCCCAGCTCTAAATAGAAGTCTTGTGTGCAACATGAAAACTCAGCTGTTTTATAGCCACCTTCCCAAACTTCAAAGCACTTGGCCCAGAGGAGCCAATGAAATCTAATATATATATTTTTATTTTTATTTTATGCTCCCCGTGTCCATGCAATTGGAATAAACTGTAAATTAGGTGTTATGGCACTGTGGTTGGGTTAGATGTGATGGTTTAGAAATGTAGCTTTAGTTTGTTATAAGATAATAGCTGCTTTGCTTTGTTGTGACAGTAGCAATAAAGTAAAGTTACTACAATGTAAAATGTGGTAACCAACCCAAACTACTGAAACAAAGCCACAAATCAGGGAACTTTATGTGTACAAGCTACACCCAGGTCCCGTTTCTGAACAGGTAGCACAGGAGCCTGCCAGAGCCATCCGTACTACGTGGACTCGGGCATTTGCTATGGGTTAAATCATGTCCCCAAAAAATGTACGGTGTGAGTTACTGTTGGAATATAGAGAAATTCCTTGCCTTTTACATCAGAGAAGGGAGACCCCACTGAGCCCAAGCTGGTATCCAGATGTGACTGAGCTTGTGGAGGGCACTTTTTTTTTTTTTTTCCAAGATACTGTAAGCAATGGGGCCAATGAAATGTGCCATGGAGTAGAGACATTTTCAATCTTGGCAGGGTTGCGGGGAGAGGACTCTCAAGTTGTGGGGACAGTACGGCGCATGACACCTGACCAAGTGGTAACTTTAGAAGCAGCAGGAGGGAGGTGGGGACCTTCTCAGATCTTGGCTGCAGCTACAGCTGCAAAGCACCACTATTGGGGGCTTCAAATAGAGCCAACATCATCAAGAAAAGTAAGAGGCTATCCAAGAGCTCATGTGGAACAGCCCCAGGAATGCGAGTACGTATTGGTGGGGGCTGGGAGAGAGACACGTGTGTGATCTTGCAGAGTGCTTAGCTCCCAAATGTTAGGCAGATGCGAGGGGGAAAAAAACCCCGCAAAATATGGACCATGACTCTGAATGTGACCTCGTATGTACCCGGAAGTCAGCAAGGCTAAGATAACATGAGTCACAAATTGAAAACACTTCAGTTTGATACTCTGAGCTAATATTTACTGAGTATTTGCTACGTGCTAGAGATTGTCTTATGCCCTGTCCATGTATTATTTAATTCTCTATATCCTTATAAAATAACTCCCATTGCTTGCTCTACTTCTCAGATGAAAGATGTGTGACACATTGGTCTTAGTAAGTGGCCAGGGCTGGGAGCTAAACTCAGACAGTCTTGACTCCCCCAGCAGTGTTTGTGACCATTGCATGAGTCCCTCCATCATCACACTGTTGTGCGAGCCACCTTTCCTATAGCATTCTGGGCTGATGCCTCTGGAGACCACTCCATGTGCCTGGAGTCTGAGATACCCACTAACATGTCTGTATAGTGAAATTCCTATAGATATGTCATACCATGCACACTAGACAATGATGTGTATCAATTGAAACACTTGCACATCATAAGAAAACAATTTCCTGAGCCTACAATAGAGTCAAATATATTTTAATTTGGTAGGAAAAGACACATGCTCTAAGAAAGACTAGCAACCAGAGAACAAGATGTTGTATTTTGTGTACAGCAACCCATGGTGAGGCCCCCAGTTCTCACAGACTCCATGTGACTTCAGGCCAAATGGGCCCTCCCAGATGGCCGAGGCAATCACTTCAGAATGTCCAGAGGCCTCGCATGGGAAAGGTAGATGCAACTAGATATGTGTATGCAATTCCTGGGGCTGGAGGAGAGGGTGAAACTTTGTTGACAGACTTTCAGATTTCTTGGCTGTGTTTTTGGTTGGTTAAAAAGCTGACAGGCTGTATTACAGCTAACATCCCTATATTGATTATACCATTTCTGAGCCTGGCCTCCCTGTGACAGGAAGCAGCATAATTAGTTTTTTACTGTTGAAATATTTGTAAGTCATTTGTACTTTTATGGGGTACATAACCTGGCTGTTTCCCTTCAAATACTCTTCTTTAACTTGTTTAAACAAGAAATATCTCCTAGAGGACAGTGTCACTGCTGTCCTTCAATGAGACTCTAAGGTAAGGACCTCTCTTGCTTGTGAAATACACAAGGGCATCCATGCCACTGTTACTTAAAACAGGTCTGCAAGAGGAGTGATCCAAACAGACACAGGAACAGCTACCACTGCTCAGGTGCTCTGTGTACACCATGGGGAAGCAACTGGACCAGGAAAAATGTCAGATTTGGGGTTTTGTTTATATTTATTTACTTTAAGCTACTGGTAGCCACAATCCTATATAATAAAAGAGAAACATGTAAAGTGACTGTACCTCAGCTACACTCACCATCCAATCAGGGGGAGCATGCAAATTAACCTCATTGTCTCTGACAGCAGGGAAGAGGCCTTCCCAGCAGGCCTGCTTGGCTGTCACCTCAAAAATCCAGGGGCAGGCAAGTGTAGCTGCAGACAGCTCCCAGCATGGCCTGCTTGGCAGTTGCTGCAGTGTGGAGCAGGCAGGCCCCGTAGAGAGCAGAGGACCATGGGGAGGGGGCCTAAGCTGTCAGTAGGATATACCCTGAGGGCTCCCAGATTGGAGAGGGTGCAGGTCAGGCTGAATTTCATGCACTGGGCCTCTAGTTGTCAATATCAGCCATTGAAAAGCACTGATCTGAGGTCCATAGTGAGTAAAGAGTTGATGCCACTTATAATTGCATCATTGCATGGTTCTTAAAATATGCAACTTGGATCAGGACTTCCTTTCTATTGTGCCCACTGAGGTTTGCCACCTCAACAACAGGCAGGGTAGTAGGCTATGCAAATATTCCAAAGGAGCCACAATTACTTAAAAGTTTCTTGGAGCTGAAACTGGTTTGGCTCAGTGGATAGAGCATCAGCCTGTGGACTGAAAGGTCCCAGGTTCAATTCCAGTCAAGGGCATGTGCCTTGGTTGCGGGCACATCCCCAGTAGGGAGTGTGCAGGAGGCAGTTTATTGATGTGTCTCTCTCATCAATGTTTCTAGCTCTCTATCCCGCTCTCTTCCTCTCTCTCAAAAATCATTGAAATATATATATATATATATATATATATATATATATATATATATATATATTTTAATTTCTTGGAAATCCTCTTTGGATGTGGATTTCCAGTCTCACAGCACAGCCTTCTGAAGAGCTTTAATGATCCTAACTCCTGTGTTTTTTTGTTTGTATGTTTGTTTGTTTTCATTTAAAAATTGGAGTGAATTTGAATCTGGTTAAAAGCCAAAGTCACTTGAATATAAATCTCATAAGTGATGGCCTTAAAAACTGTAAATGTTGATATAACTCACAGAAAATAGCAAGATATAAATGTACAGAGAGAAGAAGGATTGTGTCTAGTGATTTGTAAATGAGCCAAAGGTCCCTGGAATAGGTATGTATCCTGAGTGTGAGCCCTGGCAGAAACCCATTCAGATCAGCTTATGTAAAAATGATAAGAATGCACAATAATTTACACAACCTGGGGACAGGAAGTCAACGTGGGCCCTACAAGAGACCACAATCATAAGTTAGTCTTAAGAAACGAAGAAACTTGTTTGTTCTTTCTGAGACTACTGGATTCCACCAGAGCATTTCCTGGTGCCTCATCTTCACCTCTGCAGTTGGGCTGGCTACTTCCATAGGACCTCACCTCACAGGACAGGGGCTGGGGGCTGGCTGAGCTAAGGCTAGCACAACTAACTTAGCAAAAAGGAGTCGCTGCTGGGTTCACTCAGGCATGCTGTGGGATGGAGGGTGTGGGGTGTAGGATGCGAGTGAGTAGAGAGGGTTGGTGTTTGTGCCTGGCCAGGGGGGGAGCTGAAGATGATTATCTGTCAATATCCAAATGGCTTGCTTTTGAACCAGAGTCTAGTGTTTAAAGAAAAGACACATTTGTACCCGATTTCAAATGATTTGCATCCAGATGATGGCAACAGAGAAGCCAGTTCATTAATTTGTGTAATAGGTTAAAAAAGACTTCGCCTGCTAATCAGTTTCTAACTCACATTATTATTAATTTTTTAATGTAAAGGAAGGCCAAATTATAGTCCTCTTAATAGAGAAGTGAATGATCATAAAAATGTGTTCATGCCACCCAGTCTCCTCAATCCTTTTTGCATCTCAGGAAAATCAATGTGTTGTGACCTATATCAATTATTATTACAGCCACACACACAAAAAAAATGGTTTTCCTGTGTGAATAATAAAAACCTTACATTTACATGCATTTTATGGCATCCCAAAATGTTTTAATTTTTTTCATGCATTAACCCTACATGACAGAGCAGTATTAGATTGAACCATATAAAATGGTCATTTATATGGTCAAAAGTGGCCAAATATTGACAATTTTCTATATTTCAACCTACTCTTAGTGTAATGAGTTAATGCATGAGTCAAACAGTTTATAGCTGTGTTAGGCAACAACCTGAGCTTTCCTGGTTCTGAGTGCTAGAGATGGAATAAGACCTAGGTCTTCTAGCCATTAGCTCAGTGTCATTTCCATTGCAATATTATAAGAAAAGAGCATGCCCATCGTAATATAAACCAAATTTAAGCCTTTTGTCTATGTTTTTTTTGTGTGATAAATTCACTATAGATGATAATGAGAAAAACTTCAAGAAATCTGTTTTAAATGTTCTTCATTAATTTTTTTGCAACCGCTTGCATTTTCCCCCAAATTAGCAAAGTGCAAAAAATCAAGTCACTTATGCTATGAAAAGATTTCCTATTTAGTTTTTCAAATTAATTGGCTATGAGTAAATTGTTTTTTACCTCTGCCATTTAGGGTTCAGGGAGCTAAAGAAAATAAGAATTATGTCTGATTAAATTATTGGAAGAATTTTTATGTTATGAAAAATTATTTCTTTAATGTCTTAGTTTTCTCTTTTAAAGAAGTCAGTTCTGAGAAAGATAAAAGCATATCTTTGTTTTCTGACATAGTTGTCCTAAGTAATACCTGAATTAGAATTCACATCAATCACTCAATCCTTCTTTTGTTTATGCTAATGTTTCAAAACATACAGATGTGTTGCAAATGAGTACATCATATATGACTTGTTAGCTTTTTGTTGTTGTTGTTGCTACAGGGGATTCCAGAATATTATTATATATGTAATGTTTTCCCCAAGATTTAGCAAATGGCTATCAAACATGGAAATACAGTTTAACAGCTTAAACTAAAAGAAATGCACATCATTAATTTAAATTCAATTAGCTGGCTGCATCCTAGCAAACGGCACTAGCAAAGTGCTTCGAGTGCACGGCGTGGGAATTCCGTGGGTCCAGCGAGCCCCTGGTTTCTGTGAGCAGCTTGCAGTTGTTTTGTTGGCCTCGAAGACAGATCCCTTCTCCCCGGGCTGCACTCACAGCTTCTCGGGGCACGGGGAAGATGGCACCGATTTGTTTACCCATGAATGCTTTTGTGAGAGGAGAGAGCCTCTGTGCTTCAGCATTTCCCCCTGGACGGAGACTTGGGCGGGGGGAGGAGGGTATGTCTGGGCCATTTTGCTGTTTTTATCCTTCTGGCTCTTTGAGAGGATCTTCTTCTACCTTCTAAGCTTAAAACCTAAAACAACAACAACAAAACAAGAGGTTTTTCCACACTGTTACTCATTGTTATTTCCAGACACAAATGAGTAATCAAAAAAATTCCATCCAAAAATAAATAAATAAATATCCTGAAAGACAACTCCAGAAATGTCATCTGGTTGCATGCATACATATACATATACATATACATATACATATACATATACATATACATATATATATATGCATAGTGGATTCTGTCTGCAGAGAGGCTCTATGAGAGAGAATCAGGAAAATGAAATCTTGATATATATGGCCTTCCACACTGAGATTCCCTTGCCACATATACCCACATGCTAATTTTACATTTTTTGGTCTATGATTATACAAGGCTGTCCATGTTCAGTGAAAACAAAACATCAATAATAATCCTGCATTAACACATATTCTTGGTATGATTCTCTTCATTGATTATCATGTTGATGGTGTATGATTCAATTTTATCTTTCAATTAAGTCACTGCTTAACGTTTTTTCCATAGATTAAAAAATGAAACATAAAAAGCTAAATAAAATAGCTATGTTAGTGAAAATTGATGCATAATAGTAATAGTTTGAAGCTACCAGAACCCCGAAACTAGGTGGCCTAAAACAGTAAGTATTTATTACTTGTCATAAGTTTATGGATCAGCTGGGTAGTTCTCTGTTGTGCTTACTCTTATCAGCTGTGGATATGGTAGTCAAGTCTCTGGTCATGACTAGGGCCCCTCCCCTGTTTAGGACTCACTGTTTTTTCTGATGTTTGGCTGATTCTTGACTAAGACAACAGGGGTGACTGGTCCATTATCTCGTTGTGTGGCATACTCACTCAAGTTTAGTCACATGGTGATGACAGGGTTCCACAGGAGTGAGTGAAGAGGTTCAAGGCCTCTTGATGTTGAGCTTCAGATCTGGCATACTGTCACCTCCACCAATTCCACTGGCAGAAGCAACTCACAGCCTTCCATCCAATTCCAGGGCCTATGAAATAGACTTCCCCATTCAATGGGGGGAGCCACAGAGTCACATTGCAAAGGGCAGGGAGCCAGGGAGGTGTGAACATTTGTGATCATTGTCTAATGGCTACTGTGATAGGAGGCATTTGAGTGTTTTCAAAGTGTGCTGCGCAAAACACTGGTCTCATTGGTGGTCTGCAAAACAACACAGATGCAAACACATATACAAGGAAGAAGGGTGAATTTCCACATACAATGAGAAAATTGCATCTACTGGATCTCTCTGCAATGCCTAGAGATGAGCCAGCAGAAACAGGGACCCTAATTTTCTTAGCAGGAGCCGCTACAACTCCCCATGGGCTCCTAGCTCATTCTCCTCTCTCAGCAGCAACCACTGGCCTGAGACTCAGTTTCCCAAAGGCCCCTTGAGTCTCCAGGTGCCAGACAGGTGGAATTTCCAGAAATCCCCCAAATGGCTGGTCTCCAGCAAATTCAAGCTGCTGGATGCCTGGGCCCAGTGCTCCTCATTGAAGACGGTTCTCCTGCTTATATCACATAAAGGGAGAGCAATAGGATGGCAGAGTCCTTTATGGGAATACAGCCCCGCAGCGTCTCCAGCTGTGCTCTGCCCCAGCACACCTGCTTCACATCTCCACAGGACTCTGAAAGAGCAAGGCTGGTGCACCTGCTGAGACCCGGCAGCAAATGACATTTGCTGGTGTTTGCACACAGGCCATTACAGGAGAGGGTCAAACAAAAATGATCAGGGTCCTTTGATTCTTTACTATAGAACCTAGTGCCTTTGGTGATTGACTCACCAATAGACAGGATATACAGTTTCCCTAGCTTTGTAGGTTAAGGACCCTTTTTTCCCCTCAAGGAGCATCTTGCAGATTTGATAAGATAGAGGATGCAGATTAGAACATGATGTCTCATTTAAAGGCGATAGTTCAGTAAAATACGTCGAAAATGCAAATCCCTACAAATGCTCATTGTTTACTTTCTCACATATGCTTCTTCTACTTTCAATCCCTTCTGAGGAGTTTCTGACAGCCAAAATAAGCAACTAAACAGCAGCAACTGGAAAAAGAAAAGTAGAAGTTGAAAAAAAAAAAAGACAAGGCCAAGAAAGAAAACAGTTAAAGCTGTCAGGTAAAATAGCCCAGTGTCTGTAGTTACATTTTAGTTGCTCCACAGAAAGTGTGCTGAAACAGAATCTGAATGCAAAATTTAATGCGAATGGGTACACAAGGAAAGTAATATTTATACTTCACTCAATGAATCATAGTTATGCCTCTGTTATGTGTCCCTTGCATAAGGTTACTGGGAACCTACAACATCCTTAAGAGGCTTATGGTCTAGAGCAGGACTGATCAAGGTGGGGCTCTCCACCTCTTTTGGTCAATACAGTTATCAGAACTCCGCTGAGCTCCTTTGTTTATGCATTGCCTCTAGCTGCTCTCATGCTCAATGGCAGGACTGTGTGCCAGATGTATGGCTGACACACTTTAAAATATTTACTGAGTGGTTCTTTACAGGAAGCATTTGCTCCCAGACTCCAGGTCCTTCTTTAACTGCTTCAGCTCCATAGTCTTTCTCTTTGAGAATACTTTTATTTTTTGTATGGATGCAATGACTCCTTCTATAGAAATGACTCTGTTATCTCTATATCCAGTCACAGACATGAGAAACCTTTCTAGAATTTCTCAGTTCATCCTATGAAAGCAATCACCTGCTTGCTGTGCTTACTGTCCACGTTAGTCCTCAGTCTAGATCAGGGTTGACACATAGGTTAAAGGCAAACAAGAAACATGCCCATTCAGATTTGAGATGCATAAGGAACACTTTAGTATTGCCCTAATGATAACTTAGTTTTATTTTGGACTTTCTCAAGGTGCTTACTCTAATTAACTCTTTTACTCTAATATGCCAGGGAAATTACTAAAAGTCACTGATATCATTGCTGTCCAGTTGTGAGAGCAGACACAAGAGAGTTAAGTGATCTGCAAAATGGTCAATTCCCTGACAGCGAGTTACTTCTACGGTTGAGCAACAGGGCTGCTCCTTCATTCTATCTCATGCAAAAGCTGGACTTCCATTAAACTGGGCTTCCTGGAATTTCCTTCTCCAGGTCTTCATTTCAATTTAGCTACCCAGGTCCCCAAATGGTACTCACCACTATTATTATTCGGTGGGAAAATGATGGTGTAAGGATTGGTGTTATTTTTTCCGCCCAAGATTTCCCGCGAGGTTATTCCCACCTGTGTGCCTTAAGCCTCTGACATGGTTCTTTCCTTGCTCCCAATGCTGTCTCTGTGGAAAGGTGACAGTGTAGGTGCAATAAGCTCTGGATGAGTGGAAAGCCACTAATTCTGTTCTTTTGCTTTAACAAAAGCGCTTCCTAAAGGAAAGGGGCGACTTTCTCTTCCTAGTTCTAAAAAGCAAAATTTTAGGAATTGTGGAGACATTGAAAGTCTAAGAGATTTTCATAAAAGAAACAGCAGCAGGACGATTTTTCTCCCAGGACTGCTGGAGCTCAGCTGCTATATAGCTCTGCAACTCTGCTCACTCACTCTGTCCTCCATGTATTGTATTTCAATAAAAACTTAATAAACAGAATATTAAAGATTTGAAGAATTATACAAAGTATTCAATTTCTAACCCTGCCATTTATTTTATTTTTATGAGATATCAGGACCAGTTTAATAAGTATAATAAACATAAACTCTGGCATTTATAACACTATTCACCAGATTAATACCAAATAATATTTTCTAGAAGTGCCATTTTAATAGGAATAAATGGATAAACAGATATGCCTTAGACTTATTCTACCAAGATTGCAGGAGCTTCAATTTTTGAAAGCAAATTAACAGCCAAAATCAATATTTTCTCCATTAATTTCATATTCCCTGGAAGAGTTTTACTAGTAGAAGATAGCAAAGGGTATGCTGGTATTGGGCCAGCCAATGCTGCTTTTAATGCATATTAAAAAAAGAGTCCGCAGCCAAAACCAGTTTGTCTCAGTGGATAGAGCTTCAGCCTGTGGACTGAAGTGTCCCAGGCTGGATTCCTGTCAAGGGCATGTATCTTGGTTGTGGGCACATCCCCAGTAGGGGGTGCAGGAGGCAGCTGATTGATGTTTCTATCTCTCTATCCTTCTCCCTTCCTCTCTGTAAAAAATCAATAAAATATATATATATTTTTTTAAAAGAGTCCCCATATTTTAGTCTTAATTTATGGCCATGGGCTTCCTAATATAGATGTCTTAACAAAATCCCTTGCATATCACATGAACACAGTTGGTAGGTGATATCAGATTTAGCTGGGACAGGGGACAGGATGATGTATTTAATTATTAATATTTCTAATATATTATCTCCCATTGCCTTCTTTCTTCCTATCTCTTTGGCTAAGGTGTTCCAAGATGCTGATGACTTCAAAGAAGACCCAAGGTCATGAAAAAGAATATTCAGAGAAATGGGTCCCGGTCAGACCTTAAAGCAAAAGAGCTGAGTATTTAGGAATCTGAACCACTTTAAGATAAAGGTAACATGTATACTGCAGAACATGTGCAGTTCAATATCTTGTAACAGGGGATCTATACTAAAAAGCTTAGGTGGCGCCTCGCCTTTGTGTCATCACAAGATGGCTGCCCCCACTTCATTACCAGCTGACTGCTATAAGATGGCCAGCCAGCAGGGGGGGGCAGTTGTGGGTGACCAGGCCAGGAAGGGAGGGTAATTGGGGGCGAGATTAAGCTGGCAGGGGAGGGCAGTTAGGGGTGACCAGACCTGTAGAGGAGGGCAGTTGGGGGTGATCAGATCGGCAGGGGAGCAGTTAGGCATCAGTCAGGCCAACAGGGGAACGATTAGGGTGTGATTAGGCTGGCAGGCATAACCGGTTAGGGGCAATCAGGCAGGCAAGTGGTTAGGAGCGAGCAGTCCCTCCCATATTGTGAGAGGGATGTCTGACTGGAGAGGGTGCATGCTGGACTGAGGAACACCTTCCTCCAGTGCACAAATTTTGTGCACTGGGCCTCTAGTCTAAGTATAAAACAATAACCAAATAACAAAAACATTACCAATGAATGATCCCTATGCCATAGTCAGATATCATATTAAGATATAGAATTGCAAAAATATATAACTTTGACTAATATTAATTACTAGAGGCCCAGTGCATGAAATTTGTGCGTGGGGAGGGGGTCCTCTCAGCCCAGCCTGCACTCTCTCCAGTCCAGGATCCCTTGGGGGATGTCAGACTGCTGGTTTTGGGGCCTACACTGGCAGTTGGACATTCCTTTCATAATTCTGGAACACTGGCTCCTAATTGCTCACCCGCCTGGTTGCCCCTTACTGGACCCCCTACCAACCTGATCACCCCTAACTCCCATCCCTGCCAGCGTGGTTGCCCCCAACTGCTCTCTCCTTGCCAGCCAGGTTTCTCCCAACTGGCCTGGTCACTCCTAACTGTCCCCCTTGCCAGCCTGGTCACCCCTTACCACCCCTCTTAGTGGCCCCCAACTTTCCCTCCCTGCCAGCCTGGTCATCCCATGCTGCCTGCTGTTCCATTGTTTGGTCATCCCTCACTGACCCCTCTCCGGCCTTGTCACCCTATGCAGCCTTCTGCTCAGTTGTTTGATTGTCCCTCACTAACCCCCCTGCCAGCCTCATCACCCCCCGCAGCCGGTTCAGTAGTCCGTTCAATTGCGATGGTCGCTTAGGCTTTTATTATTATAGACTAGCAAATCGTTTCATATTAGTCTCACTAAACTGATAACAGCTTCTTTTCCTCTGAGAAGAGGGGAAAGAAACTGAGACTCTTCAAAAGGAGAATGTATGCAATATTTCCTCTGAAATACTGACATACAGCTAAAAGTCCAGAATGTGGTGAGAAAAAAAATAGTATTTATTAGCACCTATTATGTGTTAGGTATTCTGTAAATTAAGATATCCTATTGTGTAGGTAGTATTCAATGATCCCCAAGAACCCCGATCCTTGGTGCACACAACAAACATTATTAACCTAGATACTGCTGAGATCAGATTTTTCAGATGTAATCAAGGCCCCAAATCAATTAATCTTAAAACAGGGAGACTAGGTGGCTCTGAAGTAGTCACACTAACCCTTTAAAAGCAGAACGCGTTTCTGAATGATCATAAAACAAGAAGCCAGAGGTTCAAAACACATGAAGGAGGTAATGCACAGGAGGCAGCCAATCAATGGTTCTGTCATCATTGATGTTTCTATCTCTCTCTCTCTCTCTCTCTCAAATCAATGTCAAAACCGGTTTGGCTCTGTGGATAGAGCGTCAGCCTGGGACTGAAAGGTCACAGGTTTGATTCCGGTCAAGGGCATGTACCTTGGTTGCAGGTACACCCCCAGTGGGGGATGTGCAAGAGACAGCTGATTGATGATTCTCTTGCATCGATGTTTCTAACTCTCTCTTCCTCTCTGTAGAAAATCAATAAAAAATATTTTTAAAAATTTAAAAATAAAATCAATAAAAACATTTATTAAAAAAAAAAAAAAGTAATGCCCTGTTGCTGACTTGAAGGTGGAAGGAGCCACATGGCAAGGAATGCACTTGGCTTCCAGGATCTAAGAACAGCTATTAGGAAAAATGAGACCCCAGCCCTAATAGCTCACAGAAATTAATAAGTAAGGTTGCAGGAGGACCCCAAGCCCCAGGTGAGAACGGACACCTTGATCTCAGTTTGATGAGACCATTTGCAGAGAATATAACCATGTCAAGCTCAGATTTCTGACCAACAGATAATAACTGTGTGTTGTGTTAAACAGATATGTTTGTGGCCCTTTGTAATGCAGCAATGTAAACAAAAGCTATACCATGCTGAAGTAGCAACCCCTATATCTCAGAAGGTTAACAGAATGCAGTTACCTCTTTCTGCAGCTGTACGTCTCCTGTGAATGTCCAGGGATTGGGTGGGATATGCTTCCCAGAATTTTTCAGCATTGCACTTTATACAATGTACGATACCTTAGGTCCTCGGGGATCAAGCCACTCAGAGGTTTGCACACCAACTCTTGTGTACCCTGGCCCAGAACGGGACAAACAACTCAACTCAAAGGCCAAAACTAGTCACATGGCACCACCTAACTGCAAGGCAGCAAAGAAATGGGAAGAAGCAGGTAGGATATTTGGTGAGCCCTCCTGCATCTGCCCTATGAACCTGAGAGCATTCATATAGTAGTGACTTTGTGAGAAAAGCAGTATCAACAGCTTTGAACAGATGGGCTAAGGCTCAGAGAGGACAAGCAACTTGCTCAGGGTCACACAGGTGACAGAGTCCAGAAATGAACCTAATTATGTATAACTATAAAGCATATGTTCTTTTCACTGTATCATTCATGAGGGGTCATCTAAAGAGACCACTAAAGAAGCTTGGTCTGGAAAAGAAAATATGTGAGCCAGAAACTGAAGGTCATCTTTATACTTGAATCTTTGATTCCACTTTTAAACAACTGTCTTATAAATAAACATAAGCAATCAGAAAATGTTAGAGTTTTAGGAATGACAATAGCAGCTTATATTTTTCTATATGCAAATACTATTCTAAGTACCTTACATATTATAACAAAACCCTATGAGTTAAATTCAAGTATCCCTATTATATAAATATCATATTTGCTCTACAGAGAGATCAAACAAAGACAGCATCTGGAAAAAGTGAGGACCCAAACCCCAAATCTGGTTTTAGAACCCAAGGTTCTCACCCAATGCTACAGTCTATCCACCCATTTTATCTCCTTTTATAGCTTCCATCCACATCTTCCATTCACTAGGAATTTCTCTCTACCTGGTTCCTGCCTTCAAATTTATACATGTTTTTCAGAGCATAATCTATACTTCTCTTTAACAAGCTCTGTTATTTTCAAAGGAAGTGAGTTTTACTTTCTCCAAACCCCTGCTAACTATTGTATTTTACTGAGGGTGTAGATGATATTGTTTTAATGTAGAGTATCAATATTCAATTCATGGTCAGTTGGAACAACATTCCCATCCCAGCCAGACATCCAAATCCAATTCCCTAGCCATTGTTAATTATGTTACATGGCAAAGAAAAAAAAAAAAAAAGTCTTTGCAGATATGATTAAACTAAGGGGAGATGAAATGAGGAGCTTACCCTGGATTATGTACCTTAAATTCAGTCACATATATCCTTGTAAGAGAGAGGAAGAGGGATATTACACACAGAGACAGACAGACAGACAGACAGACAGACACACACACACACACAGTCACACACACGAGAAAGCAACGTGACCTGTAGAAACTGGATTCATGCAGCCATAAGCCAAAGAATGCTGGCAATCACAAGAAGTTGGAAAAGGCAAAGAACACATTTTTCCCTATAGCCTGCTGACATCTTGATTTTGGCCTACTAACATGGATTCTGGCCTCCAGAATTAAGAAAATAAATATATATTGCTTTAAACAACACAGATTGCACTACTTTATGTTAGCCACAGGAAAGTAATACATTATTATTCAATATTTCTAAAACAATGTGTTCAAATCAATGAAATAATGTTTTCACTTTTAAACTGGATCTCTGTGAATAGAATCCTGAATAATTAAACTGTATTATAAAGATACTAGAGGTTGGTGCACAAGATTTGTACACTAGAGAGGGGTCCCACAGCCCAGCCTGTGCCCTCTCGCAGTCCAGGACTCCTCAGGGGATGGATGTCTGCCTAGCAGGGAGACATCCCTCTCATATTCTGGGACTCTTGCAGTCCGGGACTCCTTGCCCCTTACTGCCTGCTTATAACAAATGTGGGAGAGGCTCCCACCACTGCTGCTGTACTCAAGCTAGCCACGAACCTGTCTTCTGGCTGAGAAGTGTTCCCTCTGTGGGAGTGAACTGACCACTAGAGGGCAGCTCCTTCATTGCATGTCTGTTCCCTGGTGGTCAGTGCATGTCATAGCGACTGGTCATTCCACCATTTGGTCAATTTGAATATTAGCCTTTTATTATATAGGATAGCTCTAGGCTATGCATTTAGACTAATTAAAGTAAAAAGTTGCTATTTAATCTTAGGATATTGATAAAGAAAAAAATCTCTGAGTGTACGTAATGTCAGTTCAACTTTCAGTGTGCAGTTAAAGGCACATAATATGACATGTTGTTCTCTGTTACTAATTACAGGAGGTTCTCAAAACAAAATTTTCATCTTTCATTTCCCTGCTTCTAATATATGGGTACATGAGCTTATTTCAAGGTAAGTGATAATTCATCTCTCACCAAAAAATATGTCTATTGTTTATTTCTTCTGGTAGAAAAATAAAATGGATAATTTTAGAAACATAAAAGTTACCACTCCAAAGTATTGCATGCAAAGAGCTAGCACTTTCAGAGAAAAGATATGCATGCTCTTTACTTTCACATACTAAAATTAACTACTGAAATATATTCACTTATTTTTTTTAAATTAAATGCAAGATCTCTGTAACTTAAGGAGAAAGTCATTTCATAAGACTTTGATCAAGACAAAATTAAAATTGCAGGTACAATGAAACTCTGGAGCTGGCTCATCATAGAAAAACCCCAATACACCTTGTAAGTGATGCCAAAATAAGCGAGAAGTGACTCTTTATTTGAGCAGTCAGATTTCCCTTCTGTCTGCAAACAGAGCAAAACCCAGGACATTTCACTACTGGAGAACCTCTAATGAGTGGGTAGTAAAATACCCACCTTTCTGACTGCCACTGGATATCAAAAAATTACTCTCTTCTGACTCAGTAATTACCCACCAAAAATTTAGAGCAAGTGGTTGTCACGTCACCCAAATTAGTACCTGACAACGAATGCTTTTGGCAAGGTTGGCAGCTGAGAAACAGGAAATGAGTTGCAAAACATTATTAAAACTCGAAAATAACAGCCTTAAAGGTGTGTGATCTACTATTCAAATACTCAAAAACTACTATGGAGAGAAAACTCACGCCTGGGTAGAAGGCAGGGAGCCAATGGAGGAGAGGTAGCAAAGAAAATGCCACTCATTCTTTGCTGGCCCAGAAGAACCACAGCCAGGTCCCTGCTGCGTCATTATCATTATTACCACTATCTGTTCAAAGGTGACAAGTTAACAGCATCGGAATGAGGCAGAAGTTCCAGATGTGTGTTTACAACTGCCTACAAGGGCCAGGACTGTGTTCTGAAAAAAACTCTTGCCAGTCCTTGGATTATTTCCTGAGCTGGACAGTCCTTCCTAGTCAACAATAATGGCAGGAAGCTCACCTTGGAATCTGACCATGCACCTTGTAACTCAGGTCTTCAGGTTTGAGCAAATTGGGCATAGATTTAAAAAAAAACAACAAAAAACTCAGCTTCTCTTCGTCTTCATGGTGAGTGCCACCTGGAAATGGATGCAGATCTCTCAGGAGAATGGAGTGGTTTCTTGATGGTTTGACTTTAAATTAGTCTAACTGGGTCACTAAAATTCAATTTTTGTAACATTATTTTTGGTAGGATCATTGCAGTACTCACTCACCCCTCAATCCATATCCCTGTAATGCAACTGTAGCATTGCAATGTAGGCTTTAAAGATGCAGTGACTTCTGAGTTATATTGTTTATTTTTTGTTGTTGATCTATATATGTAGTGCATGTAATAAAAAAAAACACTAATAACGTTATTCAGTAAGTACTGTTCTTGCAATGTAGAAGACTTCAATTATATGGTCTATTGTAAAATTTTTAAAATAGCAAGCCTTGAACCAGGTCAGAAGTGGCCAGACAGTGGCCCATGGGCTGAATCCAGCTAATCCATTTGCATACATATTGTCTGTGGCCACTTTCCTTGCTGCAATGGCTGAGGTGAGTAGCTGCAGAAAATATTTACTATCTCACTCTTTACAGAAAAAAGAAATGTCAACTGAACAGATTGCACTGGATAATGGCACAGATATTATGTGGATTGAAGTCTTTACCACAGGAACATTCTCTGGTTTCTATATCATTATTGTCTGAGACTCTCTTGACTGAAGTCAAGACTTCCCATGATCAGTTCCCCTGTCTTATTCCCCTAACACTGTTGTCCAGTCCCACCCAGGTCTGCATTCCCTGCACACACTGCACACGCTCACACCTAAATATTGAGTGCTGAGAATCAGGGATATGAAGTCTATCAAGATTTGGGTTCTGCCTGTAAAGCACTTGCTGTCTACCAGGAGCTCAATACCTAGAAAGCACAGTGCCTGCAACAGACTAGGTGTCACCTACACATATACCTTATAGGTAGTTGAAATGAATGGAGCTGAATTACCGGTAAAATATACAGGAGAGAACTGTGGCAATAAAGGTACATGGTGCTTCCATTCTGGCATCACCTGCAAATCAAACTCAGTGGTCTTTGTTCCTATTAAAAGTTATAAAAGAAAGTCCCTGATATTTCCTTTCAAAGTTTACTTATCAGCATATTCTAAGTTCAAAGCACACAGAAAAATTAATCTACAATAATAGAAGCCTTTTACTCAGTTACCTTTTTCTATATATGTTTTGAATATGTTTCTATCTTTGTGTCAGGGAGAGAGTGATTGAAAGAGAAAAATAGGATCAATATTCTGAACATTAGGGACTGCTTTGTTTTGGTTATGAATAATTATTGGTGTCATCTCATAGATTCTATTATGACATTTCTGGAAATACTATCATTACGGGTACTGCATTTTCCTCCTGAGGTAATACTTGGGGGTCCACTTATGAAATTGTGTTTAAACGAAGACTAATTAATTGTAAAAAGGACCTCTTGGCAAAGATTGCTCAAATTAAATAATAATTACCAAATATCCTCTTCACTTTATGCTATGGAGACTTGGCCTCAAAGTTTTACCAGGCTCTTAGCAAGTCAGTTTTGGCTGGTAATTACTCAATAGTCTCTTCCTTTAATGGTATAAACCTGTCAGGTTTTCCACAGCTTCTTGAAAAGAGAAGATAGAGTAGGATTAAAAGAGAATTTCCCTCTTAATTTCTATCTAGTTAACTACCACATAAATACTGAAGGCATTTTTTAGTTCAATTCATGTGAGATACTCCAACACTAACTGTGGGCATGGAATCAATGGTATTGCTTTCAGGCACCAAACAGATATCCTTACTGTAAGACTGGTTTCAATCTAGAATCCTAGACCTTTCTGGCACGGACACCTGAATGCTTCCACCCACTGTGATGATTATGCAATGTTAAAAAAAAAAATGAGTCTGTTAAGCATTCAATAGGAGATAGTGATGGTGATATTATGAAAATGTGCATGTTATTTTGGATCTGTTCTAGAAGCAACCTACCTTGTCTTGAGACAAGTGTCATCATCATTCCACAAGTTTCCCAAAGGCTGATTGATCTGGGTGCAAAGTAGTTTGCTTGCCATCAGGACAAATTCGTGTGGTACCCGCCTCACTTGTCTAAGTGGGAGGGGCAGATAAAATGTGAGTTATAGCAAGATAATTTCCTTAAGTGTTAGGGAAAAAATAGAACCATTAAATTATACTTAATTTGAAACATAACATTTTGTGAGCAAAGGATGGGTGTGTTTGGGGTGGGGTCAGCAACAGATATTCAGCTGCACCCTGGTGCTGTGGATTGAACCGTGTCCCTCAAAAATGGATGTTAAAGTGCTAACCCCGAATGTGGTGGAGTTTGGAGCTGAACCTTAAAGACATGATTAGAGAGTTACATGAGGTCATGTGGGCAGGGTCCTCATGTTGGAATTAATATCCTTATGAGAAGAGACACCTGGCCAGGGTTGTTCAGTTGGAACATTGTCCTGTTCACCAAAAGGTCGCTGTTTCAATTCCAAGTCAGGAAACATGCCAGGGTTGTGGGCTTCATCCCCAGTAGGAGGCATGCAAGAGGCAGCCAATGGATGTTCCTCACGTTAATATTTCTCTCTCTCTCTCTCTCTCTCTCTCTCTCTCTCTCTCTCTCTCTCTCTCTCTCTCTCTCTCTAACTCAAACTCAAAAAAAAAAATAAAAAAAAAAAAGCCCAGATGGTGTGGCTCAGTGGTTGAGCATTGACCTATAAAGCAGGAGGTCATGGTTCCATTCTTCCATTCCCAGTCAGGACACATGTCTGGGTGGCAGGCTTGATCCTCTGAGTGGGGTGTGCAGGAGGCAGCCTATCAACAATTCTCTCTCATCACTGATGTTTCTATCTTTCTCTCCCCTCATCCTTCCTCTCTGAAATAAAAATATATTTAAAAAATAAAAATCAATTAACATATTTTTAGAGTCACAAGAGCACTCACTCTCTTCCCCTTCCTTTCTCTCCTCCCTCTGTCTAAATCTCTATCTCTCTCGCTCTCCCCACCCCCATGTGAGGACACATCAAGAAGGCAGCCATCTACTAGCCAGGCAGAGTTTCTCACCAGAATGTTACCACGATGGCAGCCTACTCTTGGCCTTCCAGCCTCCACAACTGTGAGAAATAAAATTCTGTTAACTATGGTGTTTTGTTATGGCAGCTCAAGCTGACTGAGACACCTGGTACGCAGAAGATTTCCATATTTCTTTAGCAAAGGGTGGATCTGAAGGAGTGGCCTGAGTCTAAAGCCTTGATTAATACATAAACAGACTCTGAGTGACTCTTTTTCTACTTATCGCCAAGATACAATCTGGCACAACAGTTTTGTTTGATAGACAGCACCGGCCTGTGCTTGTCAACTAGCCAATGTGAAATAACATTATTACTGTATAATGTCGAGTTAGGCTGCATAATATTTCCATTGTATGACACGCATGATGAAGAGATTTCAGAGGTCTCAAATGTTTACATAATTAGCATTACATATTTATAAAATCAAGGTACCACTAGCACCATTATTACCATATTTCCTCCCTTCCAGGGTGTTGATACGTATGCGTGTTCACTCCCAACAATGATCAGAACAAATGCCTCCATCTCCAAAGGCTCCTTGTGTCCCCTCTGTCCCCATAGAAGACATAGGAACCCCTCACTTCATCTTGTGGCCTTGCCCAAAATAAAATAATCAGGGCCAGCTGGAGGAATGAGAGGAGAGAACAAGAGGGAACCGGCCTGAAATACCTGTCTCCCGTGTAGTGTATCGCTCTCCTGCTGGTTTGAAAGGCTTATGTAGCCATAGGCTATCTCCAGCTAGAAAGATGGTTCAGTGACATCCCTTTGGTAAATAAGTAGCTCTTCCTCCTCCCTCTAAACGTCACATTGAAGTAGGCTGTGTTTTCTGATTAATTCAGTTTGAATGCCGCTGACTGTCTGTCACTGTAGTCATATGTCACTGGTGGCAGCTCAGAGAGTCTAACCTTCTCTAACATCGCTGCACACAATTCATTTCAAAATGTGGTCTAATAGTTACCAAATACCTGCAAGGTAAAGGGAAGATGGGATGCATTTTCCCTCAAAATAGCCTGCAACCAAATTTATGAAAGCAAACTCTGTAGGCACAACCGTGTTCTCTGCAATCAAAGGCCGTGCGTCACTTGGAAATTTCCCCAAAGAATTGCCTTCACCAGAGCCTGACCAAGCCCTCAGTATTCAGGCATGTGAGGGGACATGGCACCTCCTTAAGTTTTCTTTGGGGAATAATTAGAGAGGGACACCATACCATGACCCTCTGTCTTTAAGTGGTCTGGCAGCATAACCCTAGGTTTTCACAATGAGCAGACATAGGCAAACCCTACACGATGTACCTCACTTTTTTCAGTTCTGGAGGGAGAATGGTGTGGGGGGATCCTGGGATTTGGAGTTAGAAATTAGTGACTCTTGTTATGAATCACCTTTCTTGTGTAAGGAAAGCTACTGGAGTTTTCTGACCCTCGGTTCTCCTTGGGTCATGGAAATAGGATCTCCTCATAAAGTTGCTGTGATAAACAAATGAAACCTGGAGGGGGGACCTCTAGCATCTTGTCCCTTGTTCATTGAACACACATTGGAAAATACTGCTACCAAAGTATATGCACCGGTTTTATGAAGAGCCATGTGCAAAACGGTCAAGGCTTTGACCCAGTCTTGCTCCAGGCTTTGGCCTCCACCTCCAGCAATAAACACACTTCTCTGCTTGCAACTTCATACACAGGGACATGTGTCTCTTAACAGTGAATGCTGTGGGCTGTCTCTGTGATCAATTACTTTATATCATTTTCAAATTGCTGTATGCCTACATTTTTCCAAATAGTGGCCCCCTGATCATGGTATGGTCAGAGGGTTTCTCTTGAACTTATCAAGAAGTGCCACAGACAGAGATGCTTCTGGGCTATTTGCTAAGAAACTAGCATAAGCTGCTTATCAGAAAGTATTGCATTTTCCCTTAATGGTGAGCTGCTTTGTCAGTTGCTTGGGCTGCGTGAATCTCTTTCTTTTTGTCAGGATAGGCCACTACACAGAAGCTAACAGTAGACTGCATCTCCCTGGTGGATGCCAGGGCCCTGGGCAAAACCCTGAAAAGCTAGTCTTTGCTTTCAGGATAGGTATTCTATGGTTGGAACCCAAGCCCATATAGAAATGTAAGTGGCTGGAGTGTGGTTATAACTGCAATTTTTAAAGATGTGTGGGTCAACTTACCTTGTGGAACCATACCTTATGTACAAAGCTTGATGTTCTCAGGTTTCCTATACTAGTCAAACAGTCTGGTATACAATATTCCATATTTCATTCTCATCTTACATTTCAAGATCTCAAGTTTCAGTTCATAGAGGAGCACCACGGGAAGTCAAAAACTGGAGTCTCCGGTCCTGTTGTACTAGTGGTGATTGGTGGCATTGGGCACATCATTCCAAATCCTGAAACTGGAGTTTCAGATATGTCTTGGGGTAATGATGAAACTCATGGAAGGACCCTGAAGTAGACATTCTGGTTCACCACACAGCCCGAGACAAATGTAAGACATGGAAATTGCTATGATTGGCCCTAGCCCGTTTGCTCAGTGGATAGAGTGTCGGCCTGCAGACTGAAGTTTCTAAATTTCAATTCCTGTCAAGGGCACATGCTTGGGTTGTGGGCTTGATCCTCAGTAGGGGGCATGCAGGAGGCAGCCAATTAATGATTCTCTCTCTCTCCCTCTCCCTTCCTCTCTGAAAACAATAAAAAAAATATTTTTTTTTTAAAAAAGAGATTGCTATGATTGTAATTGAACATGTTATCCAGTTCCACACAATTACAGTGTGAGAGGTTACTTGCTGCCACTCTCAGTTTTTTGTTTCATTCTAAGTGTCTTGGGCCAGGCCAATCAGTGTACTGTTTTTATACTGGGTGGGTAATGACATAGGAGAGTTATATTCTGCCTGGTTTGATTATACAAATTTGCATTTTTGACCAGAGACCTGGGAGAGTTTAGTGAGCTTCATGAAGTTTTAAATTTGAGTCATTTATGTATAGTACCAATTACAGTAATATTGATAATGACAACATCAATAATAAAAATAATAATGATAATAATAATAAATAATGATATTATAACACTCAAAAAGGTTAAGTAGCTTTCTCTAGGACATGACAGATAGAAAAAAATCAAGATTAACTTACATCTAACACCGTCTGTGTTCAAACATCATAATTCAGAGTCTTGGGGCTTCATGGCCTCTTACTCTTCCTGATAAACCTTCGGAGAAAAGCAATGGCCAAAAATCATGTGACTTCAAACTCCTTCTTTTACTTCTCAAGAACAAATACTACCAATATTATGTACTATTTCTATTGATGTAAACACGGAACACCCAGTCTCAAGTTTGGAACAAAAGGCCATGGAGCAGACCACAGAAGATATCATAAACAAGGTGCCTAACAGGATGCTTGTCATTAAGAGATGGAAATTCCTTCTCCAATCTATGCACAATATCTGAACAACTGGTACTAAAGTAGCCAACTCAGATCACTCAGACTTTATCACCTTCTAAATATAAACGTGCTTGTCAAACTGATGTCTTTTCACTGAATTGAATGACTGGTTTCACACCAAGCAGAGGGAGGCAGCATTTTTCTGGATGGCATGTCATTTGGCCACCAGCTCATGGATGCATCCTGCATGGCCTCCACAGTTCTTTCCCAGGTTGGCCAGTGGTCATGCTCAAGGCCTCTTTTGTGCACTCAGGGGTCAATGTATTCCAGCTTGTCCCTTCTCCATCTCTCCCTCTCCCTAATCATCCTGACAACTGCTTTGCAGCCAGCCAGATGCTGGATTCTTGTAGAAGGGAACTTAGAATGGCGCTGGGGATGGATTTGATTTGCTTTATTTGCAGTAACTGGTTTTAGGCATTTTTTTCATCAAATATTGTGCCCTTTTCTGAGTTTGTAACCAATTACCTCTGTAATCAGCCTCAGTGTCCAGTATTAGGAAGACTTAAAGTCAACAGTGCTGAAAAGCACTGCTCCAAAAATAATCCTTCCAGAAGAGGCAGAGAGCAGTCCCTGAGACCACTGGCGACACTCCCCATGGACATTCTCTGAATTCTCTCCACTGTTACTTGCATTTTAAAAAATCTAGATAATATTTCCTGACTATGAAGAACCATTATCCAGGTGTCTACAAAGCACACCTGTAATGCAAAGGTATTTCTGTTCTGAAAACATTTGCATCAGGCCCATACTGACTGCATGGGAGAGCAAAGCAATGGGAAATTTTGCTAGAACCTTTTATTTATTCATTTAGTTGACAAAATGGTAGATGAATCACTTAATACACTGTGAAGAAGCATGATAAAGAAAGAATTGTGGGGATTTTGTTGTTGCTTTGTTTTGTTTTTTTTATGATCACCCATGACTCAAGTAATCAGAAGGCCAAGATATAACCCTTTGAGCCGTGCTGCTTTTGGCTCACTCTGAATAAATTAATAGAATCTAAAACACTTGAATCTTACATAGTCTATAATTGTATGCCTCTTGGGTTTGCCATTATTCTTGTTATTCTGAAATGTACACATATTTCTCTTTCAAGCAATAGTAATAATACATATTTTTGAATTGAAGGCAAGCTCTATAATCTTTTCTATCTTTTGTGGTGCATTCATCTGCAAATGTACTTTAAAAACTGTAAAACACTATATAACGTAAGGTATTTATCGCATGTGGTATGTATATTTTTATTTTACATATAATCGCAATAATAAAAGGATTCTCCCTTGCATGCTAATGATAGCAATACTATTTCACTAAGCTCACAGCCCAGCCAGACTCTCTGCTGCCTTGCAAATTTGCAGACTAGACCTGGTGAACCCTTTCCCATCTGACAAATGTCACAACCCATCCACCTGAGTTACCATATGTGGCTCTAGCTCCGAGTATCAGCACACAATCATACATTTTTACAGCGGGTCTATAAAACAACCATTATAATAAATGTCTGCTTAATTAATACATTAGGACATAAAGCAATTTATTATGCTCTTATTTGCTATCGTTCTCCCTGGCTCGAATTTAATAATGCAAAAAGGTTTCTCAGATGCCAATCCCTGAAAATAATAAAAATACATTCATCATGGATATTGAATGCAGACACGCCTGGCAGTCCTGCTGGTGAAGAGGAGGCAGTCAGATGTGGAGAGAGACACGGGGCTGTTTGCACGAGCTTGGCTAGATCAGGTCTTCAGGAGCCTGGTGCAATTCTTGGCATGACAGTGAGGAAGGTGCCCGAAATAACTATTATTACCATATGCAAGGAAAGGGGGAGGGAGAAAGGGAGTTGGGGTGAAAAGCTTTCAAGTCCGTTAAATTCATGAGGGCTAGGGAGGCTCAAATTGAAATTATCGCACTCTGTGCTGATAAATAAAGTAGCTCTGGTACCTAAATCATGACACTAACTATACGTTTCGATTTTTTTAAGTAGTGATTAGGTGGATACTCTGGGGAACCTACCAGCCTTTGCAGAGATAACAGACTCAACTTAATATAAACTTAAAAAGAGACTTGAATTCTAACCAATCTCGTGTAATGAATTGAAATTCTATAGCTTACAGAGGGGGGGAAAGATTAAAAAAAAAAAAAAAAAAAGCAACACGGCTCCATTCTCTAACTTGCTGTCAGGAAATATAATTTGTGCTCTCGGTGATTCACCTAGCTCATATGCAGCATGCAAATTTATTTCCCTAATAATCAGACCTGGAGATTGCCCAAGAGGATTAATAGCATCATTCCTTATGACCGCCAGGATATTATGCACCTCTGACATGGAAAAATTGTGTTAGTTCTACAGAGAAAACGCAAGGATATTTGTCCTGTTAGACAATATAATAGGCTGGTGCATCATCAGATTACAATGTCATTTCAAAAACCTTGAATACAAATAATGTACAGTGGGGGAAATGTTGGAACAACCTCCCTGAATTCAGTAGCCTTGAATTCACATGCATTTTTGTGTGTGCTCTGTGATATATGCATTTTTTTTTTATTAGAGCTTTCCAGCATTGCCTGCAAAAAAGGCAATGGTGTTCTATATGCCATGCAATCTTATCATTGTTTCTTGGAAAACAGATGAAAAAGGTAGGAGGAAAGGGTTCTGTCTGTGGTTTTGGTTTGTTTTTATCGTACCCACACACAGCTAAAGATAGCATTCAGAAACAAAACTTTCGTAGGTAGACACTGATTGTATGGTGGGGAGGAGTGCACTCCTTGCTATATGTACAGATATAGGTATCTAAGATTTTATTTTCCCTTCCCATCTGTATTCGAATATGGAGTCATTCGCACCTTTCATTGCTTAATACTAGACACTCAAGGTAATATACATTTCACAGTTGTTGTTTGGGATGATATTTTATTTATCTTTCACAATGAATTGGTCAGAAATTCTCCAGAATGGTAATGTCTCCAGCTGTACTTTAGACCAAAGCACACTGCCTTGAGACAAGACCAAATTTCATTATTATGCGCATGGGAGCAATAAGATTAGCTCCCACTGCTGCCCCTAAGGTGGAGCAGCAGGATGAACCAATGAGATGATGCTAATGTGCATGTTAATAGTATTCTGCTAGAAGAAGTTGGGATAATTAAACATGTACCGTCTCTTTAAAACAGAGCCGCACACATTTTCTTCGGATGGGTGTTTACAAGAATTCCAATTTCAGGTCATAGCCATTTCTGAGATTGCTTAAGAAAGAGATGGGAATAACTTATCTTATTCATGTATTCAAGGAACCTTATAAAATGTGCAAAACATAACAGTTTTAAGGGGCACAACATGCATCTTATCTTGACAGAGCTGCTTTATTATGTGTACTGTTGTATACTGACCTAATATATGGAGCTTTTTTAGCTAATATACCTTGCAGGAAACCAGCCTTTAATGTGATGGATTTTATGGTATCTCATTAGGGTGTGTTTATATAACCTGATACTAAACACATTTTCAGATTCATGTTCCTTATTAAAATTGTGAGCCACATTGATTTTTAGTTGGAACGGCAACAGAGTCATTTTTACTATTAAGAAGGGTAACTCTGAAGTTATTCCCAGGGCACACGTTCTCCAAACAAACTTGGGGACATGCCCTTTTACAGCTTCAATTAGCATGGTCTTTGTGGAATAGCCCCCTGACAGCTGACTGCTTTGAGGTAGGTTACTCTCCATAATGCAGAATTATTAATTTCATAGGAAGATGTTTTCCTGGAAGTTAAAAAAAAAAAAAAACCCACATTTTATTCCTGTTGTTTTCTCATCAGTGCCTTTGATTTTAGGAGTTAGCCCCAAATAATATTAACAGATTGACCCTGAAGGCACACCTATCTTCACATCAGAGCTTCTGGGGTTGTTTCTTAACTAACACTCCCAGCCATGGCAGTGTTTGTGTGAAAGTGGAAAAAAAAAATAATAAAAATAAATAAATAAATAAATAAACCTTAACAGTGCAAGTTGTGTTAAACAAAATAATGACTTTCACATGGCCAAGTCTCCATTTTGTAAACTGATCCTGTAAGGTAACTCAGAAGTCAGCCGTAAATAGTGTCCCAGGGTATTTCAGTGGAGTCTAGGGAAATAATGACCTAGAGGTACTGTAAATAGTTTAAATTATTGGAAAGTATTTCTAAGAAATGTAATGTGAGAAGGGAGAGAAATGTGTGTGCGTGTTTCTCTATTGTGAAGTGAGTACCCTTTGGAAGTGATCCAAACTCCAAATGCAAATATTTAGAGAAAAGAACTATCTTTTGAGAAAAGTGAAAACTTTTTCCTTTTCCTACTTGTTAGAGCAAAGCTAGTTAACACAATCCAACCAGGACGAAAATAAAGAACATAGAGAAGGAAGCGCCCAAGTGTTTATTTTACTTTTGTATTTGAATCCTTGACAAAGGAAAGGAGAGAATAGATTTTCAACAGCAATGTATAGGAAACCTATGGAATCAGTACAGTTATTCACAATAGATTGAATGATGTTAAGCATGTGGGTTCATAGTTTACTATATTGATAAACTTGAACTGCAGTCCTGGAGTGGTAGTTCACAAGCCTCGAGTAATTGCCATCTATATTTGGCCTAAGAAATTTTAAATCAACACTTGTTCTCAGGTAAGGTGACCAGACGTCCCACTTTTGGCGGGACAGTCCCGATTTTTAACAATTTGTTCCGTGGCATTTTATTTTTTTTAATTTTTTTAAATGTTTTTAAAAATATATTTTATTGATTTTTTACAGAGAGGAAGAGAGAGGGATAGAGAGTTAGAAACATTGATGAGAGAGAATCACACCGCTACTGGGGATGTGCCCGCAACCAAGGTACATGCCCCTGACTGGAATCGAACCCGGGACCTTTCAGTCCTCAGGCTGATGCTCTATCCACTGAGCCAAACTGGTTTCAGCCTTAATTGGGACTTTTTAAAAATGCCGCGGGACGCGGAACAAATTGTTAAAAATCGGGACTGTCCCACTAAAAGCAGGATGTCTGATCACCTTATCTCAGGGAAGAAGACAGTTTCCCTTTATTCTGCCCCTGGCACCCTATTCATTATTAAACATTAAAGTTGTGTCAATGACTTTCATACTTAATTATTATCCCAGTTATCCTACCAGCTAATCAAGTCTTCTTTAAAGACCCGACTACAAACCGATGTGAAGAATAGGGTTATTTGTGCTTTTCTTTTCCAAGTTAACCCTAATTATTGATTATTTTAATTCACCCCATGCACTACCCATCACTATCATCCCCCAAACATGATAATAAGATTGACTACTTCTTTAATTTTATTCAATGTGAGATTCAACTTTCAAAGTTTGTCTTCGGCTAAATAGAAAAACCGGGTTCCTGTGTTTGTTTTCAGTGGGGATGGACAAGCTGTCCTGAGAACAACTTTGTTGTTAGTATTAACAGCTTCACAGTTATTCGGCTTGAGGTGCAATTATTTTACCATTATTACATGCAAAGCTTTTAACAAAACAGTTGTTCCCTCCATTTAAGCAGAGAGTTTTATAATTTATTGCATCTCTTTGGTCATCAACACACTATACAAACAGTTGGCCACCGGTGACCAATTACATTAAGGTTAAGCAACGTAACTTTAAATTAGAAATAAGCTAATGTATCTTCATCAAGGGCCTGCTGTGTTTTCACTGCTGTTTATGAGATGATACTAAATGTGGATGTAGAGCACGCTCACTGGGACCAATTCCTTTCGGCCTGAAAATGGGAAAGTCTCAAGTGTACAGGGGTCCAGAGCTAATTAATCGGATAACATCTGCTTTAAGCATTCAGCTGGAGTAATTTCTATCAACTTCCCAGTGAAGGTGCAGGGGAAACTGTCAGAGAACCAAGTATCTATCATGAGCCATATTAATCTGTGATGGGACTGCAAAGGCATTTTTCAAGTCTTGGTTGTATATTTACTGGGGTGTTGCTATCATCAATACAGGTTTTCTCCCTTTCTACCTTCCATGCAGGAATAATGGGGGTGGGGGCTGGAGGATAGAGAACATAAGCAGATCACCTACTGCATACACATAGGCCAGAGAGCTGTTCCTGTTTTCAAATATTCAATGTAGAAGAGATTAAAGACAAGAATAAAGCAGTCCTGTTCCTTCTGAAACAATGGTTTAGCCACAAAGGCATCCGTGTTGTTTTATTGTATTACTTAAAAACACAGCGGGAGGCATAGCAGTACTGGAGAGTAAGCTTCAGAAGGAATAAGCCCACTTATTCTGTGTTATGTCACGTGATCAGCTCTTGCAGACATGATTCTGGCTTTAGGAGGGACTAAATAAGGGCACCTGTCCTGGGTGGTCATTTACATAACTCCAGCCAGAATGGAGGAAAAATAAGTCATTCTCTGACACTTGATAATAAGTGATGTGTGCGGACATAGCATCCGCCAGTGGACCTTCAGCAGGGGTGTCCCACAAATCCTAATGCTTTATTTATGTACTTTGTTTTGTTTGCTTGCAGGGGAGTGAAAGTACAAGTCCATTTTAATGACATGTTCAGGAGGACATATTTCTATGTGCATGCTCTTTTGGAGTAAACCCCTAAATTAGTATGCTTTCTATATGGTCATGTAATCAAGTAAACAGCACCGAGCTTTATGATCCCCCTGGTTAAGGAGAGAAGAAAATACACTGTGTTCAGTGGTTGAGCTGAATTATGCTGATGTCATTTTTTAATAATCAGGGATCCAATAAGTGGCATACTTAAAATATGGTCCTGAGGAAGAAATCAGAATAATGACCATTCCCCTTTCCCTAAAAGCGGATAGGGTCAAAGGCCAAATTTCAGCTCACAATGAGTATCAGAAAATTCATGATCTAAAAACCCACAGCCTCCTAAAAAGGATGTCACTCGGGTTATTTTTAGAAATGAAAATGAGAGAAGAATCAGTACATTTAAAAAAAAAAATCCTTAACATTTATACCATGGGGGGGAAAGTTAGCATTTTTTCAGATGTTTAATAATCTTAGGAGATTTTTAATATTGCTGAATTGAACTTGTGGCCATCCCCAATTCATACATTTATGCAATCATCCTATAGTAAACTAATAAGTTGCATTGGTTAATTGCCAAGCTATTTTGCATACAGTTAAGTTGTGCGTATAAAAGTACGCATGATGAAACATGTAGTATTTTATAACCCAAAGCAACTAACATGCTCCTACCTAATGCATGCACACACACTATAACCCAGGACAAATTGCTTGTGTTAGTTACTACCACAGGCTGGCAGGCCAGAAAATACATTTGGTGCCTAATATGCATAAGCACAGAAATATGGTCAGGCTCATTACCGTAATAAAACTGTGATTTGCCAGCAGGATCAGTAGAAACACACTTGAAGCATTCTGTCCCTTCAGTAGTGCATGTGCCATAAAGCAATAAGGTTGTAACAAGGGTGAATCCTCAATTCAGTGGGGCTACCTTGTCTGGGTTATTTGAACCCTTATTTCCGTTAAGGGGCCCATTTGCTTTTCCTAATGTGTACACAGTGATAATGTTGCCATTTAAGCAATAAAGAAGGTCTGCAAAAACAGTAGCCTGCTCTAGGATAACGTGGGGCAGCAAGAATTTAGAGAACTGGCAACTGTCAGTCCAATTACCTAATTCTGCACCGGAGTCTTCACATGAGGGAGGTGGCTTTTGAAAGCACTTCAGAGTAAGTAGAGTCCAGGACATGTCAAAAAAGCCACGTGGGTTTCTTTTCAGTGCTTTGATGCAATTAGAATCAGGCTGGTCAAAAAAAATGCCTTGGGTCCTCTGCTTGAGATTTCCATGGTATACCGAAGACTCTGGAAAAATTAACAGAATTTACGTTCATAGAAGGCAGGTGAGAATGGAAGCTCCTTAGTTGGAGAGAAGGCACTAAGAGGTCATTTTCCAGGGGAGGGGCATTCAATAATCACTCAGAGAAAATCCGAGAGACAATATGAAGGTAAAATAGTCCCCAAATCAGCCATGAGGCTCCCCAAAGCCCTCAAGCATCTTGGAGGCCCTTCATGGTTGCCACAGTTAGCATGTGGGCCTGTGAAGGATGATCTTTGGTTATAGAGAGCTTGAAAACGGAAATCCAGTTTGAGATTCACTGGAAGAAACTCTGAAGATTAGGTGGTATATAATTTACTTCTATTTATTTTTAATGCTTTTTCTACTTTTAATGAAAGCTAATTTTGCATTTTTACATGGCCATGCTAACAGACTGATAAGCTGCTGGTAGAGCCCAAGAAAGAAAATAACTAAATTAAATATCTATAAAGCACATGGCTTTCCAAAGGTTTGCTAACATTCTTCCATGTAAATAACTTTGAAAGCTTTGTAATATGTCTGAGAATTTAACATTTCTTCCCACATGGGCACTTTGGATATCACATTTTAGCACTATAACAACCCCCATCCCCAACACACACACACACACACACACACACACACACACACACACACACAGGTCTGCTAAGCATAGTCTCTGCCCTTGAGATGCTTATGCTTTTATGAAATGGGACAAAATGGAGAGCATGCCTACAGTATTCAATGTTATAAACATCATCATATTGTTTATTATGGGCCGCACACAAATAGGTACCATTAGTCAGTGCATCATCATATGCTTGAAAAGCCCATCTCAGTGATGGGTGCTGGGGGAAAGGCCTGAGATAAGTCCTGTTTCATGAAGGTGCTCAGGACTGGTCCTGAGATTACCTTCAGAATGAAGGCTGTACCTCACCTTGGGAAGAAGGTCTTTCAATTGAATACAAACATCAGTCTAGAACCATCTCTTGTGGCTACTTTGATGGTTAGTGTATTCTTTTTCAGTTTAGCCCTCTTAAATGTGATGTGCCCAGGGGAAACCCTGGTACAGGGAAACATAGTCAGCTATTATACCTTTAACATTTAGTCAGAAAGCATTTCTATACTTGAGCTTTTCTTGTCTTCTCCTTTCTCCCCATGTCCCCCTTTCCTACCATCCCCGGTACAGCCCCCCTCACAAGTTCCCCCACCCCTACCCCAGAAAAGAAAGGTCTCCCTGGATTTGATCTACTGACCTGAATCCTAAGGCTGGATTTGAAATCTTCTGAAGGGTCCTTAACGTGCCAGAGTTAACAAGCCTGCCTGGACCAGCTGCCGTCTCAGAGCTGCTACAAACTCCACGGATTGTTTGGCAATAAAAATCAGTTATAAAAGTGTAAAAAATACCAGAGACCCAAACAGGGGAGGGAGAGAGGGGGGGAATGGCTCTTACACCGTTTTAGTGGACATCTGATTTATTTTTAAATGAAAAAGCCACTTTTATAGCATCTGTAGTTCAATTATCTCTAATTTTACATGTTTTATGCAAATTCTGAGCATCTTAATTGCAAATGAGAAGGAAACTTATTTTTTAAAGCAGAAAAAAACCAAGGTATAGCTTTGTATTTTCCTTTCAATTTTTAATTCCTATTCTTGGTTCAGCACCATTAAACTTTTAAAACTCTTTTGACACAGTTGTTTAAAACGATGTATAATTTAAAGTGCAATCTCAAGATCACAAACACCCATAGAATTAAACAAGTAGCAAATTTTATCCCCAGACCTTGCTCTCCTTCTTGGAGAAGACACTTTGATGCTCTCCCTCATAGAGTTCACAAGACTACAAGAAGACATACTCCAAAGGAGTCACAAAGGAACTTGGTGTTTTTCAAATCAAGTGCATTGGAATATATGCTAAGTATGAAGAACACAGCTGCAGGATTTTTGCCTGGGTGCCAAGATTTCTAATCAGCAGTGTGCTGATAGATGTTTGACAACCAATGCTCTTGAGAGGTGACAATCAGCTCTCTTTGACTTGAAACATTTGCCAGTTGCCACAGTGTAAGCATTTATGGCATGGCCGATTTCAAGCTACCAACCTGATACCACTGAACTTGGAAGTGGGGAGAGACAGGATCCATTGGTTCGTGTGAACAGAGCCAACTTCAGCACACCACTACTCCCAGCAATTTCAACATGCTTTGGAGATTTCAATTGGCTTTACTCTGAGGTGGGGTCTCTGGAGGGGGAAAAAAAAGCCAATAGGAAAGTTTTCGACATTATGTAAATGTTTTGAGGATTTTGTAGAATGGTGGGAAACTTAGCATGATGCTTGTAAATCTAGAGACATGAGTCTTAGTCAAGAATCTGGCAATTCTCAGCCACCTAACCGGAGCCAAATCTTTGCCTTGGAGTCTGTTTCTTCAAGTCTAAAATGAGGATAATAAAGTCCACTCTGCTGTGGGCTTTTCTTCTAATAGCAAAAGAGCTAATAGTCATGGGATCACTTGATACATCAAAAGGGATATGCCCATTAAAGCTACATTACCTCATTTTTCATTGAAAAATGATTTGTGTAAGAAACAAATACGTCTTAATGTCTATAGAAAACATCAAGAGATACACAACAGAATTCTTGGAACTATTCTTCAATAGATAGTCATTAGGATTTTCATGAGAAAAGTCTATTCTGGTCATTTGTGAGAAACTTACATACTATTCTGAGCCCTGAATCTTGAGAAAAATGAGGCCAGAAATTGGGAAGAGAGAAAGAAGTATTATCACTCTCTTGTGAGAATGAATGCTTAATTTGAATCTGTGCAAGATGTCCTCATTGAAAAGGAGAGAGGGAACACTGAGAATGCTATGATTAACACCTCCTGGGAGAAGTGGAGTGACCCCAAAAGGCTTCAAGGATAGTGTTAAAGTAAGCCCGCAAGTGTGGAGAGTGACTCCAGAGTTTGGACAGGTTCAAGCCTCGGACTGATGAGAGGGCACAGTCCTCTCATGGCCACATGCAAGTCCCAGCTTGGAGGGCAGAGTCCTGGAAGGACTGTTCAAGCTCACAATTATAGCCAAAAGCTATAGTTGTGAGCTTGAACCTGTGGCCCTAACAGGTGGCCCCAGGTGTCTGAGTGACCTGGGCTTGCTAGAGTTCAGGTGCATGTAATTGAGTAGGATTGAAACCCATGAGAATGTTTTAAACATCTTGACCACACCCTTTCTTTGCCTTGTGGCATCTGGCTATAAAATAAAGACATGGCCTGTAATCTGTGGTGCTGTCTCTCTCCATGAGAGAGGCTCTCCATCAGAGAGGACAGAATCCACTGATACTCAGCTTTCATTCTCTTGTCTGTCTTTTCTCAATCCTTCACAGCCCCACTCAGGTTCACCATTGTGCTGGTGCAGCACAGCCAGGCCTTCTTCACCCCGTTCCCCAACTACAAAGAATGTTATATCGGGACTTCCTCAGCGACCCACACAATTTGTGGCCAGAACATTTTCCAGTCCTAGTTTTCCCTTTCTTTACCAACTACGTTTCATTCTAGCACATCAAACAAAGAAAAATAATCATTTGCCACCAACAAAAATCCACACTCCTCTGGAAACAGATGTCAATGAGAAGACAAAGAAAGGCTTGTCTGACACTTCTGCCTATCAGTGATTAATTAGGCTTGCTCCAACTGATGTTGGATGCTAAGCCGCTGGTCCAGTATTTATTTTTGTAAAGGAGAAGAGTGCATGCAAATCCCTGACTTTTACTTCTCTTTTCATATCTCCTTTCTCTTCATGACTTCATGCTGGTTTGCAATTTGTGTTTTCACCACTGTAGTTAATTCTAAGACACAGTCTATCAACTCATAGCCTCCTTAGTAATGGAACTGCCGCTAAGTAAAATTGCATGTCTCTAAATAAAAATAAAAAATAAAACTCAACACTTTGATGGAGAAAATTCCTAACAGTCCTTTCATCGTGTATTTAGCTGGTTACCCTTCACTGAAGTTACATTTATAACATAATTAATGAAATAATTTTTTCTGGCTTGGAAACTCTGTAAATATATTAGTAAATACTGTTACCTAAAATGTCTGAGACCTTTCTACATAACCCCTTGGCAGTCAAAATATCCCACCTTGAGTATGTGTCTGAGACCTGACTGTCTGAAATATACACATGCCTCATAATGCATGTCAACAATTTTACTATCTGGTACAAATGGAAACTTGCTGAATTTATTCCCTAAAATGCTTTTTATGCTTTCCTTGGTTCTGCCTTAGTGGTAATGTATTTAAATGTCTGGGAGAAATATTCAAAAGAATGAAACACATAACTTCAGTTGAGATGCCTACATTTCAAACCAAATACTTGCAGATCAGTGAGTATCCAGGTTAATACCATCATTATTTGATTAGGATAATCCACAGAGACACTGACTCATGCCTTCAGATCCTGCCTTTTAACCAATCAATATTTTTAGGGTTATGGTTTTCAGAAGGCAGGTGATAATTTTTGGAGATAACATCTCAAGGTGCTGACACTGAGATGCATATTTAATATGTTCCTAGAGTGACAGAACACAATAGTGTTGGAATCTCTCTCTCCCACGCCACCCCCAGAAATACATGCACACATGCACATCAACACCCACAATGCATCTAACCTTTAAATTCTTAAAGCTCCGATATAGACTTAGCATACCAGCTCTTACTAATGTCAATGAAAATTTGAATACCTGAGCAGTGAATACCTTTCCTTCAGCTGGTCCTATCTTTGCAGCTTAGAAGAACCTCTAAGAAGGAAAAGGAAGAAGCAACTCTCCATCTAAAGTTCAATAGTGGGGGCAGGAGAAAGGAGGTGAGGGCAGTCAGTTCTCTGAAATTAGCACATGTCACTACCTACACAGCAGAACAGGGAATCACATGTGAACAGGAGGAAGTAGGGGAAAAGAAAGGGCAAAAAATTAGACTTGGATTTTTTAGAATGTCATTAAAATATATCTATTTTAATTTCACATAACTAAAATTATCTGTTTGCTTTGTATTAATTTTGCCTTGACTGAAATTAGTTGTCAGACCTCTGTTTATAGCCTAATTACCTTTTTCCTGAAAAAAAAAAAGAGGTAAAAGAAATAACAATAAATATGTAATGCAAAAGCTGCAAGTTTGTGGTATTTGTGCAGATTAGGGCTGGTTCTAGGAACAGGGTTTGAAAATAATTTAAATGAAGTTGGAAAAGCCTTGTATTTCTCAGAACAATGTAATTCGCTCCTCATTGTTTAGTACCATTGTTATGACTTCTGGCCACACAACCTTGACAGTGAATAGTGCTCAAGGTAGCTACAATTGAGGGTCATCCATTTTATTTGGCTCTCTTATGAAGATAGCTAGAGAATCAAATGTTTATACTCAAGGCCATGGGTTGGCAAACTCTTCTGTTAAGGGCCAGATTGCAAATAGATTAGACTTTATGGGCCATAGAGTTTCTATCACAACTATTCAGCCCTGCTATTGTAGTGCAAAAGAGCCATTGACAATATGCAAACAAATGAGCATGAGAGTGTTCCAATAACATTTCATTTGCCAAAACAGGCAGTAGGTCTGATTTGGCTCACAGGCCAGAGTTGGTCAACCCCTGCTCAGGACAATTCAACCAATGGAATGTAAAAACAAAAACAAAAACAAAAACAAAAACAAAAAACTAATGTATGCACAGCACAACTTAGATTAAATATTCAATAAATATGTTGAATACAATGCATATCAATTAATTGTAAAATGTACTTTACTCAGAGAAATGTAGAGCTACCTCTAAGTCAGAATCTATGGTTTTGTTTTGTTTTTTCAAAGTCATGTTAATTTAAAAAGCATTCAGACCTGTTAAGAATTTTGTGAGTTTACTTGAGCCAAACTGTTGACGTATGCCGGGAAGTAGAACCTCAACGAATTGAGATAATGCTCCAGATAATGGCGGGTTACATCTGCATTTATACATTGCAAACAAAGGGACATAGATGAGTTACATGAAATCCATTGGTGATAGATTAAAAAGGTGGGATAAAGCAAAGCGGGGAAACCTCTGTAGGGTAAAAAGTGAAATGATGGACTTATGTTTCTTTTATTACATAGATGGATACAGGATGGTTTAACATAATTAACAGTTGACAATTAACTTGATAACAAAAACAATGAGAGAATGCCCTGGTGCCATTTGTTGTGCCATTTCCAGATGCAGTCTGGAAAAAAGTAAAGTTGCAAGTTACCCAGACTTTTCACCAATAGAGTCAAAAAGACAAATGGGGCTCAGTAAAGATCTGAGAAAATACTGGCCTAGGACATGATTACCCACCATAACCTGTTTGTAGTTAAATATTTGATTTTCAGACCATCATTTGTGGTTATTTTAGGTCTTTGAGTTTGTACAACCACAATGCAGGTCTTCCCTGAACTAGCCAGGTCAGCATATGGCCCCTTTCATCCACAATAACTATCTTATTAACTTCTTATAATAAAATAGACAAATATAAAGGAGACACAGAGGGAAAGTAACCAAATGCACCATTCATGAAAGCTAAATGAAAGGCAACTGTTCAGCATAATTAGCTAGAGAGTACACCATGTAGTAACCAAGATTTAAAATTATGCTCTTCAGCCATGAAAATAAGGGAATACTAAAGTGTTGGCTAAGTCAGGTAATGTGAAATGTGCTTTAGAGGGACATGCATCAACATGAGCAGCTTTTTCAATATTATTTCCCTTGAAAGGATGAGCTTCAATTATCTCTTGAATAAGCAGCAGATATGGGAAGAAAAGTTACTGGTCTCAGTTTTGGTGTTGCTTCTCCGCATATGGCTGGTTTCTGCATCTGTGTTAAGGATTAGGCCAGATGATCCATCATACTAAAACTTGGAATTATTATTTGCATTTTAATTAGAAGATCTCTAACTTACTCCATTTTGCTTTCTACCTAGTGGTGAAATGTTGAGCTGCCGCTGAAACTGGTTTGGCTCAGTGGATAGAGCATCAGCCTGCGGACTGAAGGGTCCCGGGTTCGATTCCAGTCAAGGGTATGTACGTTGGCTGCAGGCACATCCCCAGTGGGGGGCGGGCAGGAGGCAGCTGGTCTATATTTTTCTCTCATGGATGTTTCTAACTCTCTATATCCCTCCCTTCCTCTCTGTAAAAAATCAATAAAATATATATTTTTTTAAATGTTGAGCTGCCTTTGTTTTCTCCTCCAGGAAGCAAGTTTCCACTCCACTGCCCATCCACTCCAACCCACCTACCCCATCCCCTTCACAGGAAGAGTCATATCACAAATGTGAAGGCAGCTCATCTCCCCACAGGTAGCCAGGGAGGAGGCACGTGGCTGGACAGCAGCTCCTCTACAAAGTCATCCTTGTCATCTAGAACATTCCTCAGTTGAGGGGCTTTCCTACACAGTGTCTGGACCATTGCCAAGAAGATTTGTCCAGCTGTAAGCCTGATTTTATATAGTTATTTTCACTTATTTTTTATTTCACAAGTTGTAAATGAATCTGTTTAACTAGAAAATCACGTCCCTTGAAAATGATTATAACCTAATTTGACATGCAGAATTTGTACTTATTCTAGTGTTATGATGCACTCAGTGTGTTTACATAAATATAGATTTCTGTATAATTACTCCAGATAATGTAAAGAGTTAATCACATGAAATCCCCTAAAATATCATTTGGGTAATTTTTTTATACTTTGAAAGTAAAATTTCCTTTGGAAATAAAGTGGGTCTATTTCTGAATGTTCTATAAATTTTCTTTGAGAACCTTACAAAAAATATCTACTTTCTTCATCCATTGATAAATAATTTGCTGTGCATCAAATGTGTGCCAGATACCAACAAAGATAAATAGACCTGTGCGTTGTCTTCAAGAGCATTCCATCTAACCAAGTCTGGATGTACTTCATGGAGCAAAGTAAAGCTCTGTCTTGATCTCCTCTGCTTATCTTTGTTAATCATTATATATATATATATATATATATATATATATATATATATATATATATATATATTTAAATACAATAGAAGAAATATACAAGAATAATTTGCATAGAAATAAACATCAAGAGGAAATAGGGAGGCAGAATTAGCATGAAATTCTAGAGAAAGGGTTGCAAATATTTTGAAATTTTCTTCTTTTTATATCTTATTAGAAGCCCAATGCACAAATTCATGTCACTTGGCCTGGCTGGCAATTGGGGTGATTGGACCATCTTGCCCAGTTCCATTCAGGGCCCATCAGGACTGGCCAGCCAGGGGAAGGGACGACTAGAGGTTGGCTGGCCATGGGAGGTTGGCTGTAGGAGCACACTGACAACCAGGGCGTGGCTCGTGCATTGAGTGTCTGCTCCCTGGTGGTCAGTGCATGTCATAGCGACCAGTCAACTGTTGACCAACTATAATGATTGCTTAGGCTTTTACATATATAGATTGGCAAAGAAAGGAATTTCCCCAAAATTGAGATACTTTACTAAAGGAAAAAAAATACACAGAAAACAATCCAATAGGTCTATGCTTACATATCAATTTTTAAAAGACCTATGTAAGTTAATTAGATACTTCCCTTTGCAATGTTTGCTTCCATTCATTCCATATGTACTATATGATGAGCTCTTGGTATTTCTGAGGGTTTAAGTTTAGGTAAAGGCCTGCCAAAGTAAGCCAAGCTGTGTATATAGTAAAAGAGGGCTGGAAATTATTGATAATGGCATCTATTTAGAAAGGTAAGGATGTCACTGCATGTGGGCCCATCACAAACACCATACTCTCTCATCAATTTCACTGGACACTGACAATTTTTGAATAGAGATTGTATAGAGCTCATCCTAAAACAAAAAATCCTGAAGGAGGGATGAAAAAATACCTTCATTTCGCCTATAAGTGTTATTCCTCCATCATCATGTTTCAATGCCCCTCTCAAATCCTTGGGCTCTTCTCTTTACTATGTTTTCAATAAGACAAATGTCTTTTAGACATAGTTATAAAGTAATATCTTCAGTGAAATAAAACAACTATATTTTTTAGGATGAGTTAGTTTCATATAATTCCTATCAAAAATTTGTTAGAGTAAGTAATAGAGATTGAGAAATGGAATGGATTACTGGAATTGCCTCTGATATCATTTAACAAACCAAGTCATTGTTTTAAAACTAGAATTCTAGTACTTCAATGAAATTTTATTCAAATAAATGTACATTGACTCAAGTACTTAGGCTGTCCAATGTTTCATAATTACAATCAGTTTATTTCAAAAGAAGAAATAAAGTACATACCACTTGGCAATGAGGCCCTACAGAACTAAAAAAGATTGCTTATTATAATAAGCATGGCATTTGTCCAAATATATATGCCTAAGTGACCAGTTGACATCTTGACCACTTGATTGGTCACTTTGACACTCACTGACCACCAGGAGGCAGATGCTCAACAAAGGAGCTGCCCTTGGTGGTCAGTGTGCTCCCACAGGGAAGCACCACTCATCCAGAAGCTGGGCTCAAGTTGGGAGAAGCTCACCTTGAGCTGCTTCATGCACTACTACATCCCTGAAGGGATGTCAGACTGCCAGTTTTGGCCCGGTTGAGCTGAATCCTATGAGGGATCCTGGGTTGTGAGAGGGCACAACCAAGATAAGAGACCCCACACGTGCATGAATCTGTGCACCGGGCTCTAGTCCCTATATAATTGAACTATTCTTAAACCATCAGTTAGAGAAACCTTAAAACATAACACCCCATAGATGAGCTAATTAACTATATGCAGCCAACTTGCTTTACAGGGTTTCCATGCAGGTCCAAGTTCCATATTGTTCTCCCATTACAGATAGTAGAAGGTCATCATAGTGAGGGATCGAAAGAATGTGTTGGATCCTAGTTCTCCTATTAATAGCATGTTCCTAGGAGCAAATTACTCAACTTCATGTGCTGTAGTTTCACTTTCTGTAAAATGGGAATACTAATTCTCATTGTTGTGAGGGTATAAATAGCTTATATACAGAGGGCATTTACAGCATTGCCTGGATATGGTCAGGACACAGTGCATAGCTGCTAGTTGTAGTAGAAGCTGCAGTGATCACACTCACACTGACCTTAAATGGCATTTACATACACTTACAATATATTTTTCTTGCTCATTCATTCAGCCTGTGCCCTTTATTCAGAGCCCTTGGATAACATTAGCAATGTCAATAGGAGCCTAAGGTAATGACAAATTATCCAATTAAGTGTATGTATTCTTTACCCCCCCCCCCCCCACACACATCCCTACTACATTTTTTGTCTTCCATTAGCATGGCTAATTGTGAAATGACTATGTTCATGACCACTTGTTTGCTTATATGTTTGATCTTCCTACTGGATTCTCACTAGTCACCAAAAATGACACTGTAAACAATGTGTGACACTGCCTGATAGAAAGTTCCTTTCTATTTTCCAACTCTCATCTTTGACCTACTTTCCTTTCTCATTGACCTACTCGACCAACCCACATTACACAACATGAGCAAGCATGAAGTACAGAATTCCCATGTTTCACCTTCTCTCTGCTTTACTAAACTACTAATCAGTGTTTAGTAAACTGCTAAGGTAAATGGATGTATTTTTGATATATTATTGGTTTAGGGTGGTCATTTTAGGGAAAGAAATTATTTTTGTTCCTGCTGTGTCAATAGCATTTTCATAGTATCACATGCAAGCTGACTTGCTACAGGAGTCTCAAAGGAAGGAGGAAGTTTCTAAGGAGCATCATGTCAGAGGCGGGGGAGTCCATAAGCGTGCCACTGTCCCAGTTTTGAGGCTACTGCCCTAGTTTTCACATGCTCTCTCCCTGCTTCCCCAAGAGCACATTGGAAGTTCTCTTCCTCCCGGTCCCTGTTGATCGCCTGAACTCTGATGGTGCTGCTTGAAGTGGCGAGGGAAGGGGTAGAATTGAAGTCATCCAAATCACAAACATGTCAGATGGGACTTACAAGCCAATAACTGACACTCTACGAGGCCTCCCTGAGGGCTGTCTGGTTGTTAGCAGAATATTAGTTGGTTACTTAACATATTCTGTTGTCTTCACTTAAAGGCTTAAAATCGGAAGCTTTGCTTAATTTTTCCAAATAAGATAGCTACAAAATGGAATCCCCCTTGCTCCCACTTGGTATGATGTGAGGAAACATTCCCCTTTATCACTGGGTGAATGTATGTGGATGGCCTGCTTATTAAAGTCTTCATTGAGTCCTTTAATTCAGACACTTCCTTTCAAATTTTTCAGTTAAGGGGCATAACTATAGGCTTTTCAAAATTTTTGTTTTAATTTTCTTTACTTTCTAAAATAAGACATTGTAAAAGTGCATTCCTGTTTTCACATTCCTCCATTCAAAGCTATTAAGTGCTTCCCTTAGTTGTCTAGTAACTAGATGTAAAAACCAGGTGTTCATCATTAAGGCTTTAAAATACTTTAGATATCTTAAACTATGAAACTTCTTACCATCATTGTCTTGCCAGATCCCCAGCACTGTACCTTGACCTCTGCCCCCCTCTGTGGACATACTTCCTGCTGCTCTGCCTAACCAGGCTCCATTTGGGAGGGGCGCTAAAACCCTGTGCTCATGCTAATGAAGTTCAGTACAGCTTACCCACTGGCAAGAATGCAAAATTGAACCTTCTAACAGTTGCAGAATTGTAGAGTGTTTTTACATTGATCTCTTGCTAATGCAATTAGCAGTATGTTTTGCATGTATGGCTTAATAAATCCTTGAATCATAAAGACAAAATAAAAAGCGACATTTTGGACTTGAGAAGCCCAAATAAAAGACAAAAAGAATATGAGAAGTGTCTTGCTATAATGCTTTCTAAATAAGCTTAGGAAAGGGCTTTATTCAAAACAGATTAAAATTTCTCTGGCTTACCTTCTGCAAACATAACTTGCTTCTGTACTAGGCACACCCAAAGGGGTTGGGGGAAATGTTCGAAGTGAAATTTACAAAAAGTGACAGGAAAAAAAATCAATGCTTGTAATAAATAATATATTATAATAAGAGAAACAAAGTGATTGAGTGATGTCACTTTTATAACATTTTTTTTTCCCACCAGCAGAACACCTGCTCCAGCATTGCTCCCACCCAAAGTTGTTTTCTTTGCCTGGTGGAACTACTGTAAGAATCACCTACAAGAAGTCCTTTACCAAGGTGATTAAACTACCTTCTGTCAACCCATCGCAAAATGGAAGATCAAATAAGAATCTAGATAGTGAAGTGAGCACATAGTTTGAAGTGCTGAGAGTTGTTCTCATCTTAACTGTATGTGCTCTTAATGTTGGCCTAAGGCAGCATTTCAGAGATTCTTCTCAAGGCCTCAGTGCCATTTTACAGATTGCCTTTGTAAATCTTACAGTGAAAACAACCTAGACTGAAAGAATCAACATGTGTAAAGGACTGTTAAGTAGCTTATCTCCCTTTCTAGATCTCAATAATTGTTACACATATGAAGATTCCTCCAGCTCTGAATTGTGATTTGTTTGACCTATGGAGAATGTCATCAGTTACTGGGGCCATATTTATTTCTATTGAGTGTGAAGAAATCTGCCTTATTTATCATAGGGATCAAACATAGGCAAGACACTTAAAGTGGTTAAAAATTTACAGATGTCTGGAGATCGATATTAACAATAATTTTGGTATTATTTGGTAAAAAAAAAACCAAAAAAAAAAAAACCATCCTCATTACTAATAAGAATCTATGAACTGGTTTTGAGTGTTATAAACACAGTTCTTAAACTAGACTCCAGGTATATTCACTTGTTATCTAATTTATATGCTATAAAATATACAGTCATCTTGGTGTCATATATCCTTGACGCATTGACATCTGCTATTCTAGAAAGGGTCATTTCACATAGTTTCCTTTGACATTAGCTGAACTTGTTTCTTAATCGGATTCAATAGGACTTCTACAATAGGGGAAAAAATTCAGCCTCTTTTTTATGTCTTCAGAGCTAAATGATTTCACATTTTTTCCTAATGGAATAGGCTCCAAATTTTGGACCGAAAGAGTCACTTATAAGAATCTTGCAGTAATATTACTGAATGTCAATTCTTTTATAAAGACTATTTAGTATCGTTGGCCTACATTCACTCAGGAAAATTAGACGCTGTCCTGAGTCAGAAGGAGAAACCAGAGTACAGGTATTGACACTTGTGGGGCTGTGTTGAAAGGGGCATGCCAATCTTGCATTCATGAGTGTCACTGCTTCAGAGTTACAAGACAGAGTAGAGCTTTAGCTATGAAAGTATCTTATGAAACTTCATTTATAATATAGCTTGATAGGTAAGCCAAGTGTCCATTTGAAGGCAAGACCTGAATTGTGTGTTTATTTTTGTCCTATCATTTGAGTTCTAGAAAAGTCAAAACAAGCAGGCTACCATTTGCCAATGAATCGGCTGGTTTGTGAATTCTTTGTCTAGCATGGAATGCCCATGCACCTCATCCCTAATCTGAGGGCCTGTATTTGATGTATCTACAGATGGTGAATTACCATCTGATGTGTGATAGCAAGATTTATTATGTTATACTGATTAGGTCATGCAGGACATTGTTCTTAATAAGCTACAGGTTTGTGTGGTTTAATTGGAGAACTTAACCCTGTGAAGAACTTAGCTGGAGGTCTGGTGCATAGTAAGCTCTCAATTAAGTTAGACTCTAAGTAAGTGTCATGGAACCATACATCTTAGAGAGAAATGGCTTTAAAAGTCATCAGTCCAGCTTCGTACTTCTTCATAATAAATGTCCTATACTAAATTATGGTCTCCAACTCTTCATTCTCCTATATCATATATATGCATGATTGACATTGCCTCTAGATGCTCAAAATATATTTCCCCATGCATTGACATTGAGCTTGGCTATAGGACTTGCTTTGGTGAATGGGGTATTATAGGAAATATTTGAGAGTGGAGTTTAAATATGCTTATGGATTTGGACCTGTTGTTTTGCTCTTCTATCATTTCCATATGAAGAACAATCCCCAGATAGTCATCATCCCTTCAACTTAGGTCCCAGAATGAGCAGATCTGTCCCAGTCACCCTATAGCTAAAGTAGAGTTCCCCCAGATGACTCACTAAAGCACAGATGAACGTAAATATATGCTACTAAATTTGAGAATGATTTGATGTGCATCAGTCTTGTAGCAACGGCAGACAGATGCTGTATTTCCATTAATGGGTGAGAAATCTTAAACCCTAAAGAAGTGTATTAGTTTTCCAGGGCTGCCATAAAAAATACTTACAAACTGGGTGGCATAAACAACATATAAATTTTCTCACAATTCTGGAGTCTAGAAGTCCAAGATCAAATAGTTGAAAGGTTTGGTTTCTTCTGAGCCATAAGAATAGAATCTACCCCAGACCTCTCTCCTTGGATTGTAAATAGAAATCTTCTTCCAATGTCTGCATATGGTCTTTCCTCTCTGCTTATATCTGCGTCCTAATCTTTTCTTTTAAGGACATGAGTAATATTGTGTTAGGATCCACTTCAGTGATCTCATTTAACTTAACTACCTCTTTAAAGACTTTATCCCCAAACAGAGTCAAATTCTGAGGTACTTGGGATTAGGGCTTGAACATATGAATTTTGGAAGGGAGCACAATTCAGCCCATAACTGTAAATGATGTGCAAGTTATCGAGCTGATATATGGGAACAATACCCACTTTGTATACTTCCTCTTATTCCTCATCTCAGTTTAATAATTACTGCATGAGACCTATGATTTACACTTTTTCACAAATTAACATACATGTAGTTTAGTTAACCTAATAAACCATACTAATTTAGGGCTGTTGATGACATCTATGAAGGACTATATGTCTACTCATATCACTTCGGGGAAAAAAGAAATATACTTTAAAAAAAACTTTGAGTATCTGTGTGTGTAGGCAATGGAGCTGCATGCAGGTGCTTGCCCTCAAGCCTGGTGGGCAGTCAGACACATACTTGAGTGACTATAAGACAATTTGCTGCATCATGGAGGCACATACAGAAAAGCATTAAGGACACATCGCCAGGACCACAATTAGGGGAGATATTGAGGAAATCCCATTTCTGATGATGCTGAAATATTTTATAGGCAGGAAAAGTGACACAGAGAGATTATTTAACTTACTCAAAGTCACACAGCTTTTCATGGACAAAGTAGATAAAAATGAAAATGTTCAAGCTTGCCTAACTTTTTATTTTCCTTCCTTTTTTTTAGTATACATTTTTAATAATTTCATAGAGGAAGGGAGAGGGAGAGAGAGATAGAAACATCAATGACAAGAGACAATCATTGATCAACTGCCTCCTAGGGGAGATATTAGAGAATGTAATATTTCAGAGGGTCATAAACAATGAGATCACAGGTAGAAGTGTGGGGCAAGTCATGGCCATGTGAGCTACAAGCAATTCTGGTAAATGTTTTCTTCCTATGGTTTCTGCTATGGTCACAAAACAAGATGAAAAAAATCTTCTTATAGAAAACCCTAAATCTTCCTACCAAAATCTGTTCTTTTCCCAGTCTTCGCCAAATTTCTTAACTTTGTTGATAAAGACATTTAGACCGTGGTTCTTCATTCTTCAATTATATCTTGTTCCATTTCTCTCTTTAAAAATATTTCATCATATGGATGTTTTGGAGCTCTAGATCTTTACCTGGAATCCTCTTATCCCTGTGTTTGAATTTTTAGCACAAATGTGTCTTTCTTAGAAAGCTCTCCTTTGATTGCCTAATCTAAATTAGGTACTCCTAAATACTTTTTCATAAAACCCATGGTACTGACCACAATTTAAATTATGAGTTTGTGGATGCACATGTTGGATGTCCATTTCCCTACTAGACTGGTGATTCATGAAAGCAGTATGTTCAATTTGTTTAATTTGTTCAGTATGTTTAATTTGTTCAGTATGGTATGTACAGTGGTGATATACTGTCTGGCACATAATAAGTCTTCTGGAGGGAGGGAGGGAGAGAAGAAAACTTTTAAAAGAAAGAAAGAAGTCTATCAGTGTGGCTCAGGGTTGAGCATCAACCTACAAACCAGGAGGTCATAGTTTGATTTCCAGTCAGGGCACATGCCCGGGATTGTGGGATCAATCCCCAGTAGGGAGTGTGAAGGAGGCAGTTGATCAATGATTGTCTCTTGTCATTGATGTTTCTATCTCTCTCTCCCTCTCCCTTCCTCTATGAAATTATTAAAAATGTATACTAAAAAAAAGGAAGGAAAATAAAAAGTTAGGCAAGCTTGAACATTTTCATTTTATCTACTTTGTCCATGAAAAGCTGTATGACTTTGAGTAAGTTAAATAACCTCTCTGTGTCACTTTTCCTGCCTATAAAATATTTCAGCATCATCAGAAATGGGATTTCCTCAAAAATAAAGACAATTCCCTGAGTTTTGAGAGAATGATGAAACTCAAGAATAGAAGGGAGAAAAACTCAGAAACAGGTTGATTCTAGATAGTATTGGATCCCTGACTTGTCTGATTCTCTTCCTC